ATTTTCGTTTACAAGTTAGGCTTTGGCATTTCTGGACATGACGTTGCCTCTGACTTTACATTGCCAGTGAAAACGATTCGGGTCATAAAGAAACGCTATCAACTCAATAATATATCAATAGTAGACTGATTATAATGATCTACAGTTAGTTGCAACTAGTAAAAATTCTGTGTTATTGCTGTTCGAGGTTAAAGAACCAACTATATATATATATATATATATCTAAAGCTACACCCATATACAGCCACATAACCGAGTATCGCCACAAACCTGTATTCAGAATCATTTCGCATGGCCCGCGGGCCCTATTATGCGCATACCACCCGATACAGCAAATCTATAAATAGCCCACTCGCGATAAAAAAGATCTACGTATCATATACGAATTCATCTATCATAAATGTTTAAGATAATTCTAATCATAAATCCTTACCACGAGACAGAACGAGACTTGTACCGTGTCCGCCCATATAGAGAGTTATAACTGTTGGTCTATATAAAGTTACGAGCAAATCTGCAGACCAGGCCCGGCTTTACCTGTATAGCCACGCCTGCCATGAGCATATATAACATTCCCTAAAGTAATTATATAATTATTCATTTATATTTTTCTTATTAATTCAGTGATACAGTTATCATAATAGTTATGATAATATATTGTAGAGTATTGTATCGTGTAGTATAATATTTATCATATATAGTTATTATAGCTATAATTAGTGTAATATTTAGCATGACAATTATGAACAGCGGTAGGTGAGCGAGTAAGTCAGATAGGGAGTTCAATAACAGGACCCATGGGGATTGGGAATGTCCCCAGAGACGTGAACATCTTAATCTGTCGTAACCTTTTCGCCTACATTTACGATACGTCGGTCACTGATGCAACCTGTGGAATTATATTGCCATGGTGCGAAATTAACGGGAGTCCGAAGTCAAATACTCCCTGGTTTACTGTCGGACTCCCTGATTTGACATATGCAGGAGTCCGTGTGACTCCCTGAAAATTCTGCCATACTAACTAGTTCGTTCCGGAGCACGGCCTCGCGGAATAAAGTAATATGTCCAAAGAAAATTTGGCAGACGTGCAACAGCATGAATTTTAAAAATAAGCGCATGCGTTATTGTTAATATCTTTAATTTTGAACTTCAGACTGCGGACTCCCTCTTTTGTCGTATTCAAAAGTTAATTTCTACCCCTGTATTGCTGATGCGGATATAATCATAGCTCGCATTAAGACATGATTTAGCTATCTCGCTTCCACTCTCCTCGCTCCTTTCCTTCCTTCCTCCCTCCCTCCCTCCATCCATCCATCGATCCAACCATCTATCCATCCATCCATCCATCCAACCAACCCATCCACCTATACATCCATGCATCCATACATGCATGCATGCATCCATCCATCCATCCATCCACCTATTCGATTCTTGCTCTCTCTTTCACACACGCACGCACGTACGCTCACTACCCGGGGGGCAGGCGTGCTGCATTGCTCTCCATATCTTATGTTACAATGAGCCGTAAATAGACGTAGATATCAAAATGCATCCTACTGATACGACACACGACACACGACACGCAAGACACGGTGCAGTGTAGATATTAATAGACGACTTATGTCATTATTGACAATCATGACAGATACGACCTGGTTTGGAGTAGGAAGTCACTGACAACATATTACGATGTGATTTTACCACTATTAGATCACAGATAGAACGTACTCGTACGACGATATTGGAGAAAATCTAGAGAAATTCATGTGTAGTGCTAACATGCACGCTAATTAGTAATTGTAAACATAACCACCAAAAATTGACGTGTCATATCTATTTTCGGTATAAGGAAGAATACGATATCGGATGAAAGGATAGGAAGTGACTTCCTGATAATATCCTTCGAACTCGAGTCGTCACAAGTGGCATTAATCTTGTGGGCTGCAGAAAAAGGCATTGCTATGACAAACAACAGTATTCTGTGGTAAATGGGCAACTTTATTACATGGATTATGAAATGAGACAGACCGTACGTGTGTCATAGAGAAAGCGTGTGTATACGTATAAGAATTGTTTTTTTAATGTACTCTGCAAATGACTTAAATATGACCGATCGCTCTATGCTGACATTATAAAACTGTTTTATACATATATCTGTCGGTATGACCTTTGTACCATCAGTGATTCTTGTTAACTTTACGTTATAGTTGACATTGTGTTAAAATGAATTGTACAATATATATGTACTTTTGGAAATAAAGTTCATTATAAAAGATCTTGTGGGCTGCTTTTCACGTGGAATATTGAAGTCGGTCTAGTATCGTGCAGTACTTAGCTGAACCTATACATCTTAATTTGAGTACAGGTACATGGACACCCGCTGCTCAACAGCCACTTTTAGACGCATCAATTCAGTGCCTACACACGCATATATATATATATATATATATATCAGGCTCCTGTGCGTAGCCTAGCAACAACACGCGATGCACCAAACCGGTCCGGCGATTTCATGCATGCTCACTTGATATTTAAAAAAATCCGCCACACCTTCCTGCTACAGCACGCACTATAAAATCGCCTGCGCGCAGCACACAAGCGACTTATGCGTAGATAAGGATCACCCCCCCCCCACCCCGACCCCACCTCTACACGCACACGCACACGCACACGCACACGTACACACACACACACCGCAATGAGAGACACTTCAGCTCGTGTTTAACCGTTTCCCTGTACACCGGCTGCAAACCTGCAGATGCGTCCACTACACGCTAGCGGGCTAAATGCACGCGAACGCTGCGAAATCAACGTTGCTAGGGAAACGCGATGCATCCATCCATCGTCGATCGAGTGACTACAAGAGAAAACATGAGGCGTGCGGCTCGCCGGTGTCACCGCACGCAAAAGAAAGAACGCGCGTGCAAGCTAATCCGACAGAATGCCGAATTAGGCAGTGCACGTTGTTCGGAATGCGGGTTCGGAATTCGGAATGCATCCGCGCACTAACCCACGCAAGCACGTACAATTAAAGAAGAGCACACTAATTACAAACATACCTGGTACAAATTAGTCGTTGCGGAAATAAATTCCGAATTTAAATAAGCTAACCAAAACGCTAGTTTAGATAGTGACGATTAGAAAAATGAACCTAGAATAGATAAAGATATAAATCCCAGATGAATAACATGGGAACAAGCGCGTATAGTGAATAGATAAAAATAAACCCAAGTTGGTAGGGGAGGGGTAGTGGGGGGTGGCATGAATAGATACAAATAAATCCCTGGATGTAAGATGAAAAGCAAAAGGCAAAATACTGTGTAGCGCATAACTACACTCCCAGTTTAATTCCAAATTGATGTTGGTGCATAATTATATATACACGCTACTATTCTGATAAAATGCTTAAACTTACATTTCTTATCTTTTGATCCAATCTCCAAGCAATACACGTATGGCTGCATATTTTACCGGTGAAATATCGCAGTAATGTAGTAGAAGAGCTATAGAACGTACTCTGTTATGAAAGCTCGCAAAGAGAATCAAAATCTTTTGGTGCTGCCCTCTGATGAGAAAAACAGTTACAACTTATCAAAATGAATCATTTTCGTGCATGAGTATGTGCTCCAACCTACTCGTGAGCTCGGCTATGTTGAAAAAATACACTTAAACTCATCACATTAATCTCAATATGGCTTCTTAGACAATATTTCATCAATAAATTACCATTTCTTCACGGTCACTGAATGCGAGTAACTACGAGTATGTACCCTATATCCTAATGGGAAATGAGCGATCATTGACTGAAATTGAATTCACAGTAAGTACGTGGACTTCTTCCTAGTTCTCAGCGGATATTTCCATTTTTCACCAAAATATGTTGACTAAAACCATTAAAAAAGAAGTTTCAACAGTGCTTCATATATCTGGGTTATCGAGAAAATTTCACAATTTCCTAGTAATGCACCCATGCATGCTTACAGTAAATACATCAATTATAGTCAGTTGTGAGAGCGTGCAAAAATCCTATTCATAACCAAATCGTTACTTCGCAACAAACCTATTCGTTAAATAAGCTTCTTAACAGCTTCTCTGCTTGAAAGCATTAATCCCGCCTGCTAAAAAAGCTGCATATAATGTTCACAATTTCTTACATATACACAGGATATATGCTTTAAAACGACGTTCTAATCGACCTATTACATAGATCTATATTGCTGGCAACACCGTGAAGACTATATATATATACTCATCCATTCATAGTAACATGAATTCATATGTCAAAATGACGTGGTGTGTTAAAAATAGATGGCGGCACAAACATAAATGAAATTGTGAACCAACATCAACCTGCTGACAGCTAGATTACCTTCGAGACTCAAAACGAACTGCATGCCGACAACCCGACAACAACCCGACAACAACCCGGCAACAACCCGACAACAACACGGCAACAACCCGACAACAACCCGACAACACCCGACAACAACCCGACAACAAAACGGCAACAACCCGAAAACACCCCGACAACAACCCGACAACAACCCGACAACAACCCGGCAACAACCCGACAACAACACGGCAACAACCCGACAACAAAACGGCAACAACCCGACAACAACCCGACAACAACCCGGCAACAACACGGCAACAACCTGACAACAACCCGACAACACGGCATCGCACGGCTAGAAGACAAACTACAAAAAAAACGAACTAAACGTTAACCTAACCGTAACACGAGCAGAAGGTGTACTTAACTAGTAGCTATAGCTTTGAGGTAGCTATTCAGAGCACGTCCCCCCCCCCCATAACGTATCCACCTCCACCCCCTAAATACATCCCCCCAGTGTAAAACATGGAATTACATCGCAGTCGCCCGACGTCCACGCCCCACGTCCGGGCGACTGAGTCAATATTAACTATTAGTGGGGCGTTAATGTGTCCTTATGCGCAACGAGTAAGAGCTGTGCTGCTGCTGCTAAGAGAGGAAGCCTTACCTTGCGTCTTGCCGCGAGCTTCGATCTCCTCGACGCAGCGCATCAGGATGAGCGGTGCCGGCTCGTCTCGCGAGTTGAACAGCTTCTCCAGGTCGACGCCGAACACTGCAGCAGCAAAGTCAATGCACGTGTAGTCGCTCGTCAACGCCTCGTCGCTAGCACGCGTATGCACACACACACACGCATGCACGCGCGCACATGCATGTATGTACGCACACACACGCGCACATGCATGTATGTACGCACACACACGCATGCATGTATGTACGCACACACACGCATGCACGCGCGCTCATTCATGTATGCACGCACGCACACGCATGCACGCTCGCACATGCATGTATGCACGCACACACACGCATGCACGCACGCACATGCATGTATGTACGCACACACACGCATGCACTCGCGCACATGCATGTATGCACGCACGCACACGCATGCACGCGCGCACATGCATGTATGTACGCATGCACACGCATGCACGCGCGCACATGCATGTATGTACGTACGCACACACACGCATGCACGCGCGCACATTCATGTATGCACGCACACACATGTATGCACGCACACACACGCATGCACGCGCGCACATGCATGTATGCACGCACACACACGCGCACATGCATCTATGCACGCACGCACACGCATGCACGCGTGCACATGCATGTATGCACGCACGCACACGCATGCACGCGCGCACATGCATGTATGCACGCACACACACGCGCACATGCATCTATGCACGCACGCACACGCATGCACGCGTGCACATGCATGTATGCACGCACGCACACGCATGCACGCGCGCACATGCATGTATGAACGCACGCACACGAACGCATGTATGCACACACACGAATGCATGTATGTACGCACGCACACGCATGTATGTATGCACGCACACGCATATATGTACGCACGCACACGCATGTATGTACGCACGCACGCACTCACGCACAAAATCACGCTCGCACGCACGCACGCTGAGAGGCATGCACGCATGCTCATCATTTCCAAATATGGCTACGAATGAATTTCCACGGGGGGGGGGGGGTTAAAACTTTAATAGGAAATTAGTTTCCTAATTGCAACAGCAACTTGGCTATATATAGAAGAGCGATACAGCAGAATTTGGTTATAATGGGATACACCTTACAAAGTACCCACAATAAATTGTTTGTCTCAGATGTTTTAGATTTTTAACTACTCTAAAGCCCTTTACTATCCTGTACGATTCTTAGAAGATATATTATTGCCGGCACGTATTGTTGTTTTACAGCTTGTACAACAAGTATAATCCTCATAAACAGGTAGGATAGACGTTTATATGAAGTTACCTGGCCCTAGTCTTTCTTGGCGGCGGTCCCCAGCTGGTTCACATGCGCCGACTCCAATTCTGGAGCAATGTCTATGACACTGGACACCACACGCTGCAAAGAACATTGGCAGTAAGAAAAATCTGGATTGATCACAGCTATACAGTTTCTAGATTGGGGAAAATTCACTCTGGGCTCCAACTGTAAGGTGTCCCGAGAGAAAGATACAAGCAGGCATCGTGCAGCTTACAGAAATAGAGTTACCATGCAACCAATGATATGAACATCACGTGACTTCGATGCGTGCGAAATTACACGAGGCATGCATTATAGCAGATATTAAAATCTATTCCCATCATATCTCGATTTCTTCATTATTCTAGATGCATGTATCACAACTCGATCTTTCCAGGCGTGTGTAATGCACGGGTAACACCTACCTCTACACACTAGGCCTTGCTTCTCAACGCCTAGGAAAGGCAGAGCACACTTGTCGCAGACTTCTAAATTAAGTAAGCTGTGCTCCTCAAAATGGTGACCTCCGTGAACTACAGGCACTTCCGGAACCTCCTCGATGATGGTGGCCTAGAGCAGGTGAACAGATATCATCTTAATATAGATATATGATAGATATAAATAGCACATTAATAAGATGAAATTTATCGATCATTCTCCGCATTTTACACATTTTTCTCATACGCATCTCATATACGCAATTTCACTTAATGACACAATGTGCAGCGATGGAAAACATATACAGACGGAACCCTACAGATTTCTATATACATGTGGTTGCCTGTGTGATAGCGAATATTTAGTCATTTATAATGGAAATCATTTTAATCATGTCTTATTTCTGCTATCGTAGCAAGGCGTCCAGCACAAACTGAATGTAGGGAATTGGTTGTTTCAAGGTGAAAGATCAACATTGCACCCGAGAAGACATTTCCGAGAATTTTAATTGGATATCATAAAGATACATAAATTCGTTCATTTTGTAAAATTCTCACCATTGTCTTAGTTGGCTTATGACGACCAAGTAATGCATCTAAGGCGGTCATGATCGATTCCCTATGAAAATTTTCTGTGATTCCCATCTTCTGAAAAACAACAATGGGATGTTATAGCCATCATAATGTTTTCAAGAGCTCTAACTAAATGAGCATTTTTAGTTTCATAAACTTTCTTCACTGAAGTCCTGTCCTCAATAAATAAATAAAACGTGCGAAGCAAACACATAATAATAATAAGAATTAATGGGCCACGCATATTTGAACTCTTATGGATTTTTCCAATATCCAATAATTTAACAATATCAAGTTTGAACCATTTGCCAGAAATATGCAGATTTGTATATTCCACACATATAAATTTCTCAAAAAGACGAGCAAAATAAGGTAAATAGTATCGTAAATTGACAATTAAAAACCCGAGACAATAGCAATAAGTTTGAATTAATTAATTATTAAGGGTGATACTCCATTAGTAGTGTTCCCAACTTTAATGTCATCAATGGTCATAATAACATATATATATATATATGGTAAATGGTCATATATTAGTTTGTGGTTTAATGTCATTTAGGTTAGGGTTAGGGTTAGGGTTAGGGTTAGGGTTAGGATTATCAATCATTAATCATTAATCATTAATCAATTTTAATCATTAATGATATCAAAGTTGGGAACACTCCTAATGGAGCGTTAGCCATTATGACATTTAAACATATTAAATTAGTTAGTAATGAAAATACAATCACTGCACATGAATTTCTAAAACCAATCAAGAAAAAGTGAGAATGAAACGTGATGAGGTAGAAATGATTCCCCTGTACGTTTTTTGTGTGAAAAAAAACTCTCATTCCTCATATCTATGGACACGCGGTCTCTCAATGATATTGCACACGAACACAGCATAAGTCGACAACGAAAACATCCGGTGAGGCGATTGTGAAGCTACTAGAGACCCATCATTAATGAGCTTATTCGCCTGCAGGAAAGAAATGAGACTGCCACCAATCAGTAACGAGCAGCCACGAACAACAATAGAGCAAGGTGAATAAGAGTTCACTTCCGATACGGGGAAGGATTACTTCCACCGTAAACACCCGTAAACACACCAATATTAGACTAGATAAGTAGTAGACATATACACCTAATTTTGATAATGGTAATTACGTAAAATAATATGGTCATATTACCAGCCGACATTAGCCAGCCTTACAGTGTATTATATATATATATATGATATATAGGCCTATCTATAAATATCAGCTTACATCGGATACTATACCACTAATTTGCACTGTCTTGCACTCTCTTACACTCACTATATATTCTCGTCTACATTCTGACCTACGAGTCTCAAAATGTAGATGAGCTGGCTCACACAAGAATTGTCCGATAGTGGCAGAAATACCGACTAGGATTGCTAAACGTTTCAAAGCGATTAAGCTCCGCAAGTCAAGTCAAAAATTCTTATCAGGTCCCAGTATTTCCATTACATCTACGAAGAGCAACACTGCAACAGCGAGAGAGCTTCTGAGTACTTAGTTTTGGTGATTCGCGCCACGTCAGACATATTCTGTGGCTGCTGTAAAATTCAAATTCATTCCCTACCTCGGCAACCCACTATGAGCTGGACAAGCCGACGTGACTTCCTCTATTCTTGCGCGCAAAACAGATCGAGTTACAAATGACGAAACGTAGGTGATAATTTTCTGATACGAGTATTTTATGATGCTGCAGAGATATATTTTATCAAGCCACCGTCAGGCTAACAATCTCAACCCCACACACATAACGGATAGTAGTTTTCCTGAACAAAGCATGTTACGAAAACCATATAAACGCTGATGCCGAGGCCCTATTGCTCAACGGTAGCCAAAGGCGAAAGACATAAACTACGTATTACGAAGATCAGAGAATGCACGAAATTTCTCGAATCACGCGAACAGCGCTGATAATCAAATAGCGCTGCTGCTTCAAATGAAATTTGATCGCATCGCTCACAGTGAGTGAGTGAGTGAGTGATTCACGCGACAAGTGTGATATTCCACCACAAGCTCAACGACTGCTGAGGCTATCGTTTGCGTAGCGTGGGTGCGTAGGAGGATGGCGGGTGGTGGTGGGGGTAGGGGGAAATACGCTATGTCTACGTGACGTAGGAAACCTTTGCGCGCCACAATGGGTGTCACCGATAACCTTTACGTGCTACGTCGCCGCGTCGCAAATGATGAAAAACGATATACAGACAGACGGACGGACGGGTGAACGGGCTCACGGATAAACACATCAGTCTGGGCACGTCTGTGCCGCCTGCATCGGTATGTCAAAGCAACATCAAGCACGGCGGCGACAACAACATCGACAAATATCGGTCGTCACCCCGACGTCGTCGCACCTGCTCCACCTCACTACCACGCCACCGCCGCACGCGACCGTCACGCCGCGTCGATATCTCATGACCTTCAGTGACCGTCATCGACCTCGCGACTACGCGGCGCTTGAGTGGTAACCGCCTTCACGGTGTGTACACGCGCGCGTATGTCGAACCCGAAAACATGTTTACCCCGTCAGCAGCAGCAGCAGCATCACCACCACCACCACCATCAACACCCGCCGCCGCCGCCGCCAGCAGCAGCAGCAGTAGTAGTAGTAGTGGTAGCAGCAGCAGCAGCAGCAGCAGCAGCAGCAGTAGCAGTAGCAGTAGCAGTAGCAGTAGCAGTAGCAGTAGCAGTAGCAGTAGCAGTAGCAGTAGCAAGTAGTAGTTAGTAAGTAAGTAGTAGTAGTAGTATATGTATAGTAAGTACGTATAGTATAGTAAGCAATATCAGTAGCAGTAATCAGTAGTATCAGTGGCAGTAGAAGCACCAGCAGCAAATAGTCACCAGCAGACAGGCAGTAGTATAGGCAGTAAGTATAGCAGTAGCAGGTAGTAGTAGCAATATCAGTAGGCAGTAAGCAGTAGCAGTAACAGTAGCAGTAGCAGCACAACAGCACAGAGCCAGGCAGGCTAGCAGTTAGCAGTAGCAAGTAGCAGTAGCAGTAGCAGTAGGCAGTAGGCAGTAAAGGCAGTAGCAGTAGCAGTAGGCACATACGTAGTAGTAGTAGTAGTGGTAGGCAGCAAGCAGGCGAGCAGCAGCAGCTAGCGGCATGAAGCAGCAGCAGCAGCAGGCAGTAGAAGCGACCGTAGTAGCAGCAATAGTAGTAGTAGTCGTAGTAGTAGTCCGCCAGTCGCCGTCGCCGTCGCCGTCGCGTCGCCCGTCAGTCGTCGTCGTCGTAGTAGCGTCGTCGTCGTGTCGTCTGAGTCGTGATCGTCGTCGCCGCCGTCGCCGTCGCCGCCGTCGTCGTCGTCGTCGTCCGTGCGTCGGTAGTCGTAGTAGTAGCAAGCAGCAGCAGTAGCAGCAGCAAGCAGCAGCAGCAGCAGCAGTCAGTAGTATAAGTCACGTAGTAGTAGTAGTAGTAGTAGTAGTAGTAGTAGTAGTAGTAGTAGTAGTAGTAATAGTAGTAGCAGTAGCAGTAGCAGTAGCAGTAGCAGTAGCAGTAGCAGTAGTAGTAGCAGTAGCAGTAGCAGTAGTAGTAGTAGCAGTAGCAGTAGCAGTAGTAGTAGCAGTAGCAGTAGCAGTAGTAGTGACATCGGGAACAAATGGCGCTGCTGTCAGCGAGAGGTGTGACACGCACACACAGGCGGCAAGAGAGTATTAGGCATCGACATTAGCGGCGGAGCTTCGACTTCAAAGGCGACAGACACCGAGTGTCACGGAGCGCTATTACAGATGAAACTAGAAAGGCACTCCGGGAGTGCGAATCCTCCGCATACGCGATCACTACACCTGTGATATTTTGTAGGCTGAGGTTGCTACTTGTAATGGATGACGTTGACTTTTTTTCTTTCTTTTTTGTACTGAACCGATCCGTACGTGGTGGAAGCGTCATTATTATCATCATCGGCACTGCCATGGCGATTATCATCACTACTGTCATCATCATTATCATCGTCATCATCATTCTCCTCCTCCTCCTCCTCCTCCTCCTCCTCCTCCTCCTCCTCATCATCATCATCATCATTGTCTCCACCATTATCATCTTTATCATCATTATCATTATCGTCATCATCAATATAATCATGGTCATCGTCATCATAATCGTCGTCGTCATCACAATCATCGGCACTGAGATATTATTAATCACTCATCTATCATCAAGCCTACATCGCTGTTTCCCTAACAGATGAACGCTTTCATATAAAACGTCGCGCCCGTGCTCGCTCCTCCACCTCTTCCCAACCCCTTCCCTCCCCTCTCTAGCCACCCTCTTCCATCAGCTCTCCTCCCCAATCCCCTTCCTCCCCTGCCCTTCTAGCTGTGAGTGCAGGCGCCGGCAGCTGAAGCCACAGGCACTTGGAACGTCTCAATAAAAAAAAAGGTAAATAAACACGAAATGTATTTACTACTAAAGTCTTAATGTTTCTCTACTCTATTTCGCCTATTATTTCCGATAATTACCTGTAAATGCCGGTCAAATGCTCATCTGCAACACACAAGTACACTGCACGCACGCCCTGTGCACAAACAACAAGAAGAAAAGAATTTACAGGTAATTATCGGCAATAATAGGCGAAATAGAGTAGAGAAACATTAAGACTTTGGTAGTAAATACATTTCGTGTTTATTTACCATAACATTGTTTTATTGAGACGTTCCAAGTGCTTGTGGCTGAAGCAGCATACATGTAGTATAGCTAGCGTGGCGCGTGGGAGGCACTCACGTGCGTGAGTGGCAGGCAGGCACACACTGACACTTGTACGTGCATTTTACGCATGTAATCGTATATGCTTGTCGACAGCCCCCAAGGCCGAAAACTAATGGTCAACACGTTGGTTACATTCAACAGGCGAATCGTGCGTTACTTAGTTTTGCTTCTACATTTTGCCAGCACTAGATAAAATCTCTCTATGCACGTTAACAACAGAGAGAGAGAGAGGGGGGGGAGGGAGAGGGAGAGGGGGAGGGAGAAGGGGAGAGAGAAGAGAGACNGGAGAGAGAGAGAGAGAGAGAGAGAGCGGCGAAGAACAGGAGAGAGACAGAGAGACAGAGAGAGAG